CGCGGTGAGGATACTCACGGACAACGTCATGGCCATGTATTATGTGAATCATCAGGGCGGGGCTCGCTCCTGTTTCCTATGCACAGAAGCTATCCGCTTCTGGAATTGGTGCATTTGCCACGGAGTAACACCTATGGTATCTTACTTACCTGGAGCCACAAATGTGACCGTAGACATCCTCAGCAGGCACTTGGATGTGAAGCACGAGTGGGAGATGCACGATGGAGTCCTATGCGAACTCTTCCGACGCTGGGGGACTCTTCGTGACCTCCCGCAACACGAAATGCCACAAGTACTGTTCCATGGCGGGATTTGGCCCTGCTTCCTTGGGGGATGCCTTTCTCATCAGCTGGCGCGGACTCCTCTTTTACGCCTTTCCTCCCATACCGCTGATCCCGAGAGTTCTTCAGAAAATGGGGGCGGACAGGGTGAGACTCATCCTCATAGCGCCGGACTGGCCGCATCAACATTGGCTCCCCTTCCTTCACCGTCTGTCCTCACGTGCACCAATTCACCTCCTGGTCCTTCCGAATCTCCTCACTCAGAACTGAGGACAGCTGAAATACCCCCAGATACGCACCCTGAACCTCACAGCATGGTTCTTAACTGGTTGAACCCATTCAAATCCCTTTGCTTGGCACCAGTTCAACGCATCCTCATACATAGACGGCAAACAACAAAGAACACTTACCTCCTATAAGTGGTGCAGATTTGCCTCCTGGTGTGTCGCCAAACACCACTGCCCGGAACTGGCTTCTATCCCTCTTGTGCTGGACTACATAATGTACCTAAAAGAGACAGGTCTTGTGTTAGCTTCCATCAGGGTGCACTTGGCAGCAATCTCAGCCTTTACATTGCTGGTGGACAGTGCCTCCATCTTCGCCCACCCCACTACAAAGAGATTCCTTAAGGGCCTCGCCAACATGAGCCCACCACGGGACCCAGTCCCACCAATATGGAACCTAGATATAGTCCTCAAGGCCTTAATGATGCCAAAGATGAACCTTTGGCAACTATACCCTTGCACCTCTTGACTATGAAAATGCTTTTCCTCCTTGCCATAACATCGGCACGCAGGATAGGAGAGCTTTTGGTCATGACGGCCACGCCACATTATACAATTTTTCGAAAAGATGGTGTTATACTAAGACTACACCCAAAGTTCATTCCAAAGATCGTATCCCGCTTCCACGTCAATGAACCAGTAATTCTACCAGTATTTTATCCAAAGCCCCATTCCTCACCACGGGAAGTAGCCCTACACTCCCTAGATGCCAGAAGGGCCTTAGCCTTCTATATAGACCACACCAGACCCTTCAGACACACGGATCACTTGTTCATCTTCCTGGCACATAGATCAAAAGGACAGCTGATATCCTCCCAAAGGATATCTAATCTAACAACCTCCTGCATAGCAGAATCTTATGCAGCAAAGCACATATCCCTTCCCACCCAACCACATGCCCACTCCACCAGGGCCATGGAGGCTTTAATGGCCTTCCTTAAAGGGCTCTCCCTTAAAGACATTTGTAGGACGGCCACCTAGTAGTCACACGAGACCTTTGCTAAGCATTACTGCTTATCCCTGGGCACCCGTTTGGACGGGGCGGTGGCGACTGTGGTGCTCTCCACAGCGGATAAATAGGGACTCCTCCTTCCCTCCTTCTGTTCTGGCGACTACTGCTACGCAGTCACCCATAGTGGAGCACCTGCGGGGACATCCTCAAAGAAGAAAGCAAAGTTACTCACCTCAGTGTAGTAACTGTCGTTCTTTGAGATGATGTCCCCGCGGGTGCTCCGCTATCCTACCCTCCTCCCTGTTTTGGAGTCCGTTTTTAATTTGTATCTTTCAGACTCCAAGGCGATCTCAAGGAACTGGCGGGAGGCTGGACCATGCGTCAAGGAAAAGAGCACGAACGCCGCGAGCACCACGGCACATGCGCGGTCTGGACGGATACTGCTTTTGACAAGTCTCTGTCTGCATTGCTGGGGCAAGCCCAGTACCCATAGTGGAGCACCCGCAGGGACACTATCTCGAAGAATAACAGTTACTGCACTGAGGTGAGTAACTTTGCATTATACAGACTCAAGAGACCTCCTGTACAACCCTAAACACCTTAGACTTGTACATTCTGGGGCCTGAGCAGAAGAAGTTTAAGTCCAAGTCGCCCATGTCAAAAATAATGTCAGTAATAGCGGCTTTCCTGAAGTGTTGAGTTCAGTTGTATCCATACCTTGATGACTAGCCAGTCAGGAGTCGTTCTGAACTCATGGTTCACCAGGACATTGCTCTCCTCCCTGGCACATGCCGATGGCTCAGTCTCCTGGTAAATGACAAAAAGTCATCGTTCATACTGGTGCAAAGAATCAGTTTCATTGGTGTGATGCTGGACTTAATCATGGCCAGAACATTGCTTCCCCAACAGAAGTTTGATGCTTTACTGGCTCTGATAAAGCAGTTATCTCTGTCATCTCTGACCACTGCCTGAGTTAGCTTAGGCCATGCACACTTCACCAGGCTCAACATGTGCCCACTCCAGGTATAGCTAGCGTCAGTGTATTCATCAGCTCAACACTCACTGGATTGGGTGGTGATAGTCCTGATGCATATCCTCGAGCCCCTAACATGGTGGACTGTGTGGGACAGTGTCATGTCCAGTGTTCCCTTTCGGCAGCTTCCGCATTCAAGGGAGGTGGTATCCAGTGCCTTAGACCCAGGCTACTCAACACGTGGCCCGTGGGTGGGATCCTTTGAACATGGCCTCCACTGGGAACACGCTCCATGATGGCAAGTCAATATAATGGTCTTCTGTTGATATGTGTTTTAGTAGTTAAATTCCTGGACTATCATTGCTCATTAAAAATGCTGTCATATGGGTGGAAATCGGATAATTATTAAATTTTATTAATATCAGCAGAACCGTCTTAAATGGGACCTGCACGTTGTGTAGCCTTGCCTTAGTCTTTGTATTCATGCCCATCAGTGTGAAAGAAGCTATTTTCATATATTTGGACATATATTTGCAAGTATATGCAACCACACCTAAGTTCAGTCTCTCAGCATGTGCTGTGAGTATCACTGTGGCCCCCAGGACTTCCAAAGTTGAGTAGCCCTTCCTTAGACCATGGCTCACCTGGGACCACTCTGGATGCAGGGGGAATGGTCCACGGAAGACAGCACTCTGCATATAAACATCATGTTCAAGGTGGTTCAAAATTTGTGCAAACTGTTTCTACCACACCTGTCAGGCAGAGTGGTCTGGGTCCTTATGGATAACACGTCCACCATGTTCTACATCAACAGATTGAGAGGAGCTTGCTCCACACCTCTCTGCAAGGAAGTGATTTGGCTGTTGGACTTTTGGAATATTTCAATTACGATAATCTAGTTATTTACCAAATATTCCCCTTGACAAGCTTCTTGTACCCCCTGGGGGTACGCGTACCCCAGGTTGGGAACCCGTTTTGTAGGATTTTCCTTCCATGAAAGTCTATGCATTTTGCTTTGTAAGGCCTTAATCAGTCATTCAGCATCAAAATCAGTCTTCCTATGATATATGCTTATTGAGAAGAAGTTGTTCTTGGTATCTGTATGCTGACAACCCCTCCTGGGTGTTGTCTTTCCGGCAAAAGTTGTGATTAATTCCCTATCAAGGGGGGCGTACCACTAACTTCAGGGTTCATCAATCTGCCCCGTAGTCTGCGTCATTAGTGTGCTTTCACTTAGTTGATAATTATTTGGTGCTTCTGAGTCTCCGGCCCCTCCTCTGTCCATTTGAGCATGCAGTGGCCTTCACATTTCTTTCTCCTAAAACATTCTCTCTCTCATTCACACAACCAGAACATTTACAGAATTGCAGCATGGAACAAAGGGGTACTTCTAGTCACTCTAACAAAGTTACAAAGTCTTTCAACATTAAACTTCTATCTACTACAAGCCTTATCTAACACTAACATCACTATGTATTACAATATTCCATCCCTTCACTTTAACATGCTAACATCAAACAGAGCTGGAGCTAAGTTAAAAAAGCTGCCGGGCCTGTCTGAGACCTACATCTTGTATTTAAGTTTAATCCAAATCTTTTGCTATAACTTACATTTATTATAACTGACTTCTTAGTTACAAAATTCCAATTCCAGTGCTACAATATGACCAAAGAAGAGAGAGACATCTCTATGCTTTGGAAGTCAGGAGGAGGTGGCTTTCTGCCTGGAGAGAATGAAGCCCTTCCATAAGTCCACACAGCTTTTTGTGGCCTATGCTGACCACATGAAAGGTCTTCCAGTATCTTCACAGAGGATCTTCAAGTGGATCACCTCTGTGTTGCATTCTGCATGTCCTTAAACTCTTACCCACCTCTGCAGATACTGCTTGCAGTCACCTATGTTGAATGGAAATGAGCATGTACTTAAGAAAAGACAGTTAGCTGTTTCCGTAACTGGTGTTCCTTGAAATGTATTCCTCATGTCCATTCAACTCGCCACCCTCCTTTTCCTCTGTCAGAGTTTTCTGGCAAGAAGGAACTGAACGGGGGGAGGCAGGTTGGGGCATTCTATATAGTGCGGCATACACACACCACTCCAGGGGTCACTGGACCTGGTCCCCTACGGATACTGCTGAGGAAAAATCTTCTGGCCCTGGTGCATGTGGTAAGCACACATACGTATGTTGAATGGATATGAGCAACACATCTTGAAGGACTCCAGTTACAAAAATAGGTAACTGTCTTTTCTAAGGAAAGGTAAAATGAGGCCCAGAATTTGAGACATGCCCAAGACTATGATTTTTATAGAATCAGGAACAAAATCCACAGTCAACTGGGATTGCTGCTTTCTATTTATATTGCTCCTCTTTTTCAATTAGGGTATGTCTACACAGCAAAGTTATTTTGAAATAACTTTCCTAGCATCTACACAAGCTAACTGCTATTTCAAAATTAATTCAAAATAGCGGAGGGCTTATTTCAAAATTGGTAACCATGATTTCTTTGTTTCAGATTAGGGCTGATTGAGTGGATGGAAAATACCTGTACCTTAAAAGATTTCCTTATGGAAAGCATGTCTGAAGAGGAAAAAGATGACTATCACAGGTGATGCTAGTTTTAACTGCCTATGTGAATAGAAATTACCATCACTGGGCTCTTTCTGACATTCTGTTTATCTAATGAAAAACTTAATGGGGTGTTTTGCTTTACAAAGGTATTTGTAAGCTGGAAGTCTCTTTAGTGGTGCCTGACCTAAATTAGTAATTGACAGATGTTTAATTAGTACCATTGTACCTGCCATTCATATCCTCCACCCAGCTTGTTTAAACAGGGAATTTGTAATCTGTGACATTATTATCCCCATTTCCTTATCAACAGATGATTTTACAAGTCAAGGATTTTGATCTCTTGCTTTGAACAAACAGGATATGGACATAGGTCAGCAAGGATATATAACCACTTAGAAAACTGTGTGTTCAGCAATGAGTCAGAAATTGAGGATATTGCCTGTAACTACATGAAATACAAGTCTATCCAAGTTTAAAAGAAATGTTGTCTTTACATGCAGAGTGGATTTGGAAATTCTTATTTTCTATCTCTGGGCTGTTGGTTTTCAAAGGACAAATGTTTTTAGAATCTGATGAATTCTAATTTTTCTCTCTTATCTTTGTGAGGCTGTAGGAATTCAGGAATAATTAACCTGCTTTGTCCCCACTACAGTTTTGTTTAGATTTGTCTAACTATTGGCATGATTCATTTGCAAACTCTTGGTTTTGAGTCAGAGCTGTGGGATCAAGTCCAACACCGAGGCTACATCTAGACTACATTCCTCCTTTGACAGAAGAATGTAAACGAAGGACTTTGAAATTGCAAATGAAGCGCTGATTTACAAATCTTGCGCTTCCCTTTGCATAATCGCATCCAAGTGCTTTTTCAGAAGAGAGATTTTCTAGGGGAAAAAAAAGCAGTCTGGACAGGGTTCTTTAGAAAAAAAACCAACCCTTTTTCAAAACAACCCTATAAACCTAATTTTTTCCAGGAATAAGTGTTCTTTCGAAAAAGGGTTGTTGTTTTTTCTGAAAGAACCCCGTCCAGACTGCCTTTTTTTTTTCCTACAAATATCTCTTCTGTAAAAGTGCTAGGATGTGATTATGCAAATGAAGCATGAGATTTGTAAATCAGCACTTTGTTTGCAATTTCGAAGTCCTTCATTTACATTCCTCTGTCAAAGGACGAATGTAGTCTAGACATAGCCCAGGGCTAACATTCAATTTGATACATCAATTGCGTTAATGGTTGTGTCCTTTAATTGAGGCATTAAACTGTGCTCCCTTCTATGTATCTTTTATTTGTACAAAACAGAGTTAACAATCCTTTGGCACTATCACAATAGAAATGAGAGCTGTGAAAAGATATTTTTTTCAGTTTCTCAAGTGAGTGGTGGAGTTATCCCGAGCATGTAAGAACTCTGTTTCCCTCAGGGGTAGAGAATCTGCGGCCCCTGGCTTGCCTGGATCCAGCCCCCAAGGCTTGGTGCTCCCCCTTGCCAGCATTGGGAAGCCCGCACTGGCACTCCAGTTATCCTACTGTGGGGCTGAAGCACACAAACACTACTTGCCCAGGGTCATCTGCCCCGACCCAAAAGGTTCCCCACCCCTGGCCTACAAAGTCTCTGTATTACCAGCACCTTGCTCATTGCTTTGTGAGAGGTTTGTACCTTGACTAAGAAAAGTCATTGAAATCCTATTTTGAGTGGTGGGAAAGTTGTGGGGAGCAACCACAATGTGCAAGACAGAATTCTAACTTGTAGGGCAGGGATTCCCAAACTTTTTGACACGGGAACCAGTAAATCCATTCACGAGCTTTTGAAGGACCGGTAATATTCATCTTCATATTTGCATATTCATTAATCAAATGATGAATATTCAAATAAGTTGTTTCTGGTCCTCCCAAAGCCCCCAGTGCCAGCTTTAGCAAAGCTTTTGATATGGTCACCCACAATATTCTTGCCAGCAAGTTAAGGGAATATGGATGGGATAAACGGACTATACGACAGACAGAAAGCTGGCTAGATCAGGGTTTCTCAAACTTTTTACTTTAGTTGGAACCTGTTTTTTTCAGTACTGTTTTTTGCAGCCCAAAAATATAAACACATATTAAAAAAAGAATGAAAAATGAATAATTTTTTACTGTTTCACTCGGCTGCATCCTCCACCCGGCCCAGGCCAAGGCTTGGGGGACTTGGCGCCACACAAGCACTCCGGGAGGCGGGAGCAGGAGCAGACTGGGGGTAGGGTATCTGGCTAGGAGGGAGGAGACAAGGAAGAGGAGGGTTGCCAGGTGTCCGGTTTTGTACCGGACAGTCTGGTATTTGAGGCTTCTATCCGTGAAACAAACTGAGAATATACCGGACATATAAAATGTCTAGTATTTTCTCATTAGGTAAATTTTATTATTATTAGGTGCATCAGTTTGTAGCTGCAAACTGCCTGGCTGGTAGATGTGCTCAGGCTGCGTGAGTGTGTCTACCAGCCAGACAGTTCGCGACTACTCGAGGGGGAGTGTGTGTGGGGGGACAATAGAATCCCCAGGCTGGACTAACTCATGCGGAGGGCAAGGGGGGAACAGGGGCAGCGTCCCAAGATCTACATATGGCCGGGTCAGTTCCACTCCCTGCAGGTCGATTCATTCCTCCCCCCTGCTCCTCCCGCTGTGCCACTGGCCAGCCCCACTTCCCTCAACCCCCTCCCGGGCAGCCAGGTCCACATCTCCTCTCAATCTCCCTTGGCCAGCCCCACTGCCTGCATCCAGCCCTCCTTCCAGAGGCCGCTTCCT